GCGTACGGCTACGTCTACCTTGTGGACTTGGCGGAGTTTCGCAGCCATGGCTTCGCGACCACTACTTGGCGGTGAGCAGAGTCGCTCGCAGCTGGCGCAGGGTTGGAGAGATGGTGCCAGCTCAGGTTTCCCTGCATGCCGTCGCAGCAGTCTCAGGACGAAGTCCGGAGAGAGGCTTAGTCCGGAGAGAGGCTTAGGAAGTCGTGTCAGGACGAAGTCCGGGCCTAGGACGCAGAGCGGAATTGAGCCAAGCAGGCTGCTCGCTCGCAATTCGCGAGAGTGGAAATGAGCATCAGCACCTCTAGCCAGAGAGTCATGCTTGTGAGACCAAGGAAGAAAAACAGGCTTGCAGTGCGCGTGTGTCATTTGTTTGTCTTGCTTTGGTGCAGTAGGCTTGGCATCTTCGACTGTCTGAGTTATGGGCTGCGTGGTTTGGCTCAGCTATGGACTGTGCTTCAGCTTTGCTTGGGTAGTGATGCCTGTCAGCGAAGGGTCTGACTCGGCGCGCAGTCGCAGCACGGACTGTAGTGAGTGGATTGATCTTGGCTCGCAGACCCGCGACAAGGCAGAGCCAGGAGTAGACTCCTGCCAGCAGCGGCCGGGCTCACAGAGAAGTGGAGGCGGCGCAGAGGCGGCAGTGGCAGGGCAGGTCGCGCGGCGCAGAGCAGATGGCCGCGCCGCAGTCTGAGGGCCGCTCCTGTGTGCCCGAGTGCTGCTCCGCTGCTGCGGGCATGGTCCGCCCGCAGGGCTGTCAAGGCGACACCGGTTCCTATTGGTGCGCCATAGCCCGTGTCAGGGAAGGCAAGATCCCCGGAAAGGCTCGCGGTGATAGGTGTTGGTACTCATATGCCGGCAAGGAGCGCTACACCAAAGACTTCGAGATTATGCGCGGCCAGAGCTTGTACTGTGGATGGCGCAGAGCCGCAGGGAAAGCAGCTCGACAAGGCACGGAGAGCTGTGGTGCGCGGTGGCTAACTCCTACTTTGGCAGAATCCCAGCAAAAGCCAAGGATGGACGCTGCTGGTTCCCGTATGGTGGCCAAGAGCATGTGACGACGGACTTTTTTTACGTCTCTGAGCTCGCGGCGTGGGAGTGTCGGGGCTGCCTATGGCGAAGCCTAAGGTGATGCTATATGTGTGGCTCGCCAGTTTGTGTTAGGGCCGTCTAGGGCTTAGGGATTGGGCGTGTGCGTGGAGAAGCTAGGCTGCTGTGCATTCTCGGCTTTGTGGGCAGTGTGGTCCACCGTCATCTTCTTCCCGGGGCAGATCTGAGGCTGTGTGTCAGAGTCCTTTGTGCTGTGAAGCTGGATGCCGGAGCTCGCTGCTGGCATTTCGGACGACCCTCGACGCGAGGGATGGCCGTGCTTCCGGAAGCATGTCACGCGGGCGCGCGGCAACCAGCATGCTGCGTGGATGACCTGCCAGAGATGCGCCCTGAGGACGAGCTATGTGACGAAGGCCGCGGGGCACGGACAGCGTCGAGCTCTAGGCATCGCTGCCGAGATTCTTGAGACGGCGCTCGCGGAATTGCAGGATGTAGTGAGCCCAGAGGACTGCGCGGAGAAGATTGTGACGGGCAAGATTATGGAAGTGAAGGGGCGACAGCTTCAGGCAAGCGGAGGAGGGCTGGACTACTGCGTGAGACCGGGCACCAGCGTCCCGGCTGCAAGGAAGTCCGCCAAGAAAATGGGGAACCCCGTGGCGGCCGCCAGTGGAGAGGCCGATGGTCCGACTTCGACACGGCTCAGCCGACACCGCCCCGCTGCCGGCAGGACAAGAGCCGCAAGCGTGCCGCCGTCGGTGAAGACGGAGGACTTATGTCGAGAGACAGGCGGCGCTGATCAAGAGTGGGAAGAGCTGGACAGGCTGGAGGTTGAGCTCGTGGAGCGCAAGGTCAGGCTCGGCGCAAGGCCAAAGCAGAAGCCGCACCAGCGGCGCGGAGAAGCGCCTCCAGGCCGAAGGCCGGGGTCTGGCAGCTTGTTCTGAAGTGGAGTGCGGTGAATGTGCTAATGCAAGTGAAGCGACCTGCGCAGTCAAAACTTGTAACTCACTGCTTCTCATGGTTTGTGGGATTTGCGGTCGTTTCAAGTTGAGTTGTGAGCTGAGCTTGCAGCATGTATTTGCGTTCCGGCTCAGCTGCGTTCGGTTTGTGTCAGATGTGTTTCGCAATGTTTCTGCCAAATGAAACGTTGTCAGCAGTAGTGGTGAGACGAGGCTGAATCGGCTGCGACCTCATGGAACTTCTCCGGGAGTCGGACAGCAGTTTGCGAAGTGATGGGGACGTGCGAATCCGGAAGCTGCCTTTTGCTTCTTGTCGATGCGCGCTGCTCCGGCAAGTGTGGAGAGTGGCTGCGTGGGGGGGGCGAGCGCTCTGAGCCCGCAGACCGGTGGCATCTTGTGAAGACTAAGAGCCAAGTCGAAGGCCGGGCGTCGGCGGAAGCTTCTCGGCGATGCGTGCTACTCTGGCAGCTGTGGAGACTGGCCGCGTGTGGGGGCCAGCGCTATGAGCCTCCTGCGTACTGCAGACCGCTGGCATCTTGTGAAGACTGGGCCAAGTCGAAGGCTGGGCGCCCGCAGGAATCAGTTCTTCGTCTCGTTAATCCCGCCCACCCAGGAAGGAACGGTTGCGAGTACGACCTCTTCCAGGCAGTTGGCCGACTGCCGGCGAAAGAACGGGGAGGCCGGTCTACCCAGGAGGGAACTCAGCCAAGACTACGACAACACCTTCAATGCAGTAGCCGACTGCAGATTGTGGGGAGGCATGCGCAAACGTCAAGGTCTCGTGCATGGTCTCGTGACAAATGTCACACCTGGCCAGTGGCACCCTGCAACACACCGCACCAACATCACGAAGAGTTGAAGCTGTAAATGTGAGCGCCTTGGCGTCAGCGTCATGCAGAGAGATTGTGTTGTGCAATTGATGAAGCTTTGTGTTGGCAGGTGGGTTGACATAAATCCCCTGCATCATTCTAGGATTACAATTTATCTTGCCCCCAGGGGTTTTTGCAGCGGCGCTGGGCTGTTCGCCCAGAGGGCGATAGCCAGCAGGTCGCGGGCTGCGGCGGCGAGCTTGTATTGTCTCCTTTCGTCAAAGCAAAAAGCGAGGTGTGAGTTGCCTGCTTGGCGTTTTATTGGTGGTGCGAGCTGAAGTGATGCGTGGCTGATGACGGCTCAAGTCTAGCAGGTCAGCTTTTTTCGTGAGGTCACGAAGCGGGCGGGAGACCGGAGACAAGCGCACGGCTATGCGTCGGAGAAGTTTGGTGAAGTTGTTCTCGGAGCTGCAGCTTTTGCGTCACTGGGAGCAGGACGCCGTGGACATGAGGATGTTGTGGCGGATCGCCAGCGGCTGGGCGAATGCCCGCAGCGCCACGAGCCTGTGGGCTCGGAGACAAGATGAGAAAAAGAGCCGCTGGTGGTGGCTACCGGAACGGCTGGTGCAGACGTACTGTCGGGAGGATCATCGGGTGTGCGCGCAGGCCGGCGGCTTCGTGCTATGTGAGAAATGTCGAAGACTGTTCTGCAGATCCGAGCGAGCTGGAAGCGGGATGCCAGGTCAGCCCTTTTCAGGATGTTACGCAGCAGGCGGGAGTAGGCGTGCGCCCAGGCCGAAGGCCGGGGTTGCGTCCAGGCCGAAGGCCGGGACTTGTAGACTGCGTGTTTTCTTGTATTGTTTTGGCAAGCGGCGGGTAGTTTTTGTTGTAAAGGCAAGCGCGGCTGCTCGAGAGTGACCAGCTCTGGTTGGCTGTGGCCATCGCAAGTGCCGGTGCAAGTGAAGCGGCAGTCGAAGTCGAAAGACCGAGCCCACTGGTTTCCACCATGTGGGGATCGCAGCTTTCGTGGAGTTGGCTTTTGATTGCATGCGTGTACTGTGCCTGGCCCGCTCAGGTTCGAGCCCTGCTAGCCTGGCTGACTCGGCGTAGTTTTTGTTGCCGGCCCGGCCATGAGGCCTGAGTGCGCGCCCATCTTATCCTTGGCTGACAGCGCAGCGGTGGGGTTCGGTGACAAGTGCGGCGTGCAGCTTGTGGATGCTTCGAGCAGGCGTCGCTGTGTCGTCTGGTGCTGCGGTGGGTCTCTGGTGACCGGCTCCTGTTGTGCTGGCAAGACGCTTCCGAGCGTGGCCAAGCAGCTCATGTGCGGCTGGAGGCAGATTGCCGCGCGCCTCGGATTCCCGGATGTGACAGAGTTTCTAGCTCAGAGGCTGGCGGTGAGCCTTGTGGCGGCACGCGGAAGCGTGCCGGAAGGCACTGCGATCTATGGCGACCTGCATAAACATCGCAGCAGTTGGCGCGTGCGAGAGACGAGCAAGACCATTTTAGACACGCAGGACAGCTGGGCGCAGGACAGCGAGCCGTTCTATCGGCGTGGCCTGCACTTCTGTGGCGACAAGGATCGACAGCGCCGAGTCTATTGCCACGTGATCGAGGAGGCGGCAAAGTTGGCTGTGTGCCCGGGCACGACGCGCGCAGAGGACGACGTGGTGGACTGCGACCTGGCGGTCGTCATCTGCTGTGGGTGGAACAACGTTCCGAAGACCGGAGACAAGTGCACGGCTATGCGTTGGAGAAGTTTGGTGAACTTGTGCTCGGAGCTGCAGCTTTTGCGTCACTGGGAGCAGGACGCCGTGGACCTGAGGATGTTGTTGCAGATCGCCAGCGGGCGAATGCCTGCAGCGAAACGAGCCTGTGGGCACGGAGGCACGATGAGAAAAAGATTCCCTTGTGGTGGCTGCCGCGACGGCTGGTGCAGACGTACTGTCGGGAGGATCATCGGGTGCGCAGGCACGCCGGCTACTTCGCGAGAGAGTTCGATCGAACCTTTGTCGACGATGGCCAGCAGTATGCAGAGTTTTGCAACTTTGCCTCTACGCAATCTGTGAATCTTTTTCAGGGCTTGATCATTTGCTCCCCGCGGCACCCGCTGCTGGCTCGGCTGCTGGGAGAGGCCATGGTGACTCGGCAATCCGAGCTTGAAAGCAAGGCGAAAGTACCTTACTTTCTGCAGGCAGTTTTACCAGACGCTGAAGAAGGGTGCCCAGCTGAACAAGTTAGAGCCTGGCTGGGTCGACGCCGGCCCGTATGGCTGGGTGTACCTTCTGAAGGAGGACAAGCTGGTCACCGACAAAGCCCTCCAAGTGATGCAGTTGACCAAGCCAATTCCAGACACGGACGGCCCTTTCGTTTCGCTGCCATTTGACGGCCACATAATCCACAGCGGGAACAAGCATCCCGCGCAGACGGAGCGTTGGCTGCTGGCTACGCGATGTTGGGGTTGGAACCAAGGTTGGAAGGAGGATCGCACGCGGGCCGACACGGCTTTTCATCAGGCAGCCAAAGGTCACCGCGCGCAGGCCAGCGCCGCGCAGGTGGTCGCTTGCAGACCTCTAGACGGAGACCTGGCGGTTGAGATGCAGGTGTTGCGCCTTAGTGAGGCCGGCCGGGTTTGTAATCTTGTGTGTTGCAAATAGCGTTTCGAGCGGGGGTGACTATTTTTCATTGCTCGTGAGGAGCGCCTGGCTCGCGTGGACACAGTGGCGCGCAAGGTGATGGAGCTCTACACGAATCAGAAGGGCAAGGACAAGACGGAGTACAGCGATCTGCAGGTGCAGTGCCTGGTGGGCCAGGGGCTGGTCAAGCCGCAGGCCTACGATGCTCTGACATGGTGCCGCAAGCAAGAGAAGCTCTTCAGGCTTCAGTCGCTGGCGGCAGTGTTTCAGCACTTCAAGAGCCAGAGTCACGTCAGGTCACAGGACGACGGCGGAGTCACTCACACGCATCCCGCCCCGCAAGAGCAGCAGCCGCAGGTGGAGCAGGAGCAGGAGCCGACAGACGGGGAGCCAGTCAACAACCCGGCGAGCTCCGGTCTGGAGTGGTCGAGCGACAAGCATCTCCCCACCAGAGATGAGCTCATAGAACTCTCCAAGGAGCAACAGGAAGCAATTTTGGGTGGATCGGGCGATTTGTCCTTCAATATGTCTCCGTGGATTTGAGCTCTCGTCAGCATTGTGTACGACTTCAACGAGGGGCTGCCGCAGTACTGTGCAGAGCAAGTCCTCGTTCTTTCGAATTGCGTGCCTGCAGAGTTTCAGCAGACCCTTCAGCACCGAACCACCAAGCAAGGCACGTCATGGCGTGATTTTATTTGCAGCCTCCAGAAAACCACTCCCGTCACCAAGAATCTGGTCCTCTTGAAGTTTTGTGGAAAGCGTGTGGAGGTGCTGTCAAGCCAGTCCAAGCTGTTGGGGATTGGCTACTTGTTGCTGGGAGCGGCGCTGGACGCATGGGCTGTTGCGGCGGGCCACGACAGCAAGTTCTGGGAAGCGTCGGACGTTTTCCTCACGAGCGCCAATTGCCAGGCTATCAAGCGCAATCTCTACGCAAGGATGCGCCGTTTCCGAGGCATTTGCAGCAACCACTGGCCTCGAAGGCGGGTGCTTGACCAATCACCTAGAAGCTCTGCAGATTTCTCACACTACCAGCAGAGCGCGGCCTACGTTCCAGCAGCTGTGTTTGGTTTGGCCACGGACGCGCTTTGGCATGCAACATTATCAAGCACTGTTTGGAGGTCGGTATGTTGAGCACGCAGTCCGAGTTGAGTAGCCAGCAAATGCCGACACGACGAAGTCCGGTCATTTCTTTTTTGCGCTGCCAACAGGCCGAGGTTTGCTCGTTTGTTTCGCTACAGCAACGCTACAGTATTCTGCGGTTCGCAGCGGCAAAGAAGCTTGGCACAGGTTTTGCGCGCACTTCACAGCAGCCTTTCCGCAGCCAGGCGTTGCGCGCAAGACATTTGTTGCGTGGCAGCAGTGTTTGTGCAATTTTGGGGTCAAGAAGTTTCGGACGGATTTCGGCGGGAGAGCAGTCTCTGCATGCTAGCTCTGTAGCCTGTAGTCCCATGTGCAGCAGACCGGCGCATCGAGCTCAGCAGCTCCGGGAAGTGTGCTCAAATTTGAAAAGGCAGCTGAGGGAAACCAGCAGCTCGACAGATGCGAGCCCCAGGAGCTGGCGCCAAGTTGGGCGACGCTGAGCTAGCTGGACAGTGCGTCGCGGCGGCAAGTCTGGCTGACATTGGACGGGCTGGAAGCTCTGATGCACGAGACTGGAGGCTGGCCCGGAAGCAGGGCGCCAAAGCGGCGGTGGCGAAAGCCGTAGCCGCGCGCAACGCTGCTGGCTACGCTCGGCTTCGCTAGAGGTGTTTGAGATGTATCAGCGAATGCTTCCAGAAGACGAGCGGTTGCGAGGCAGAACCACTTGCGGCAGAAGACTCTGGACGCAGCGGTTTTGCAAGCAGTGGAAGTTCGTGCGTCGCAGAATCGGTCTGCGTCAGGTGGAGCTGACTTTGGCGCAAAAGCGCGCAAAGGCACCCTGTCTTCAAGTCTTTCTTTTTGGTGTTTTTGTTATGCCTTTGAGCATGTGTTTCGTGACCTCTAAATTGATTTTGGGCTACAGTGAAGATTCAACTAGTTCTGTCGGGAAGCTAGACTGCGCCAGCTTTTTGAGCTTTGTAGTGACGCCAAAAATGAGTACACTTTTTAGCCCCAAAAAGAGGGTCGTAATGAACTACCGCTAGCTCGTGGAGTGGTTGACCCACAAACTGGGTTCATTACTTGTGCTCAAAAATGGGTATGCAGGCACAAGTGTATTGGCAATGGCTCCGACACACTCAGTTGAAAGCTCAGCACCAGGGCAAGCCTTTGCTTTTGATTAACATCGACGAGACGCCCGTTCCGTATCACATCAAGCCAGTCACAGGAGTCGTGAAGAAAGGATTTGGCGGTCAAATTGCAGTTTCAACAAAGGAGAAGCGAGGAACGGCTTCGCTTTTGGCAAGTCTGCAACCGGTCGTCTCTGCAGCATCTCATGCCTTGCTTTTTGCTCTGCAACACTCATCGTTTAGCGGTGCGAGTTCGCAATCGCCTGGTGTTGCCGGACAACTTTGTGGTGTGGCGATGTAAGTCGTCGTGGAGTAATGGCGCCTCCATGATGCGCGTGGTGAGCCGCATCAATCGAGTGTGCGAGCCGTACAAAGAATTCTGCCAGCCAGTGCTGCTTCTGGACACAGCGAGTGCTCACATTGCGCCGGAGACTTTGCGCTTTGCGAGGGCATGTTGTTTGGAAGTCGTCATCGTTCCAGCTGGCATGACGCCGCTGCTGCAGGTGGCAGACGTGTTTGTCTTTGCCTCTGTCAGCAGCGTTTAAGTCAGGAGTTTCAGCGCATGAGAGTGACGCAGCAGCAAGTGACAGTGCGCGACTGGATCCAGCTTCTAGCCAGGGTCCCTGGCTGGCTTCAAGAAAAGTCCTGGACGGAGGCATTTGCAGCAACCGCTGGCCTCGAAGGCGGGTGCTTGACCAATCACCTAGAAGCTCTGCAGATTTCTCACATTACCAGCAGAGCGCGGCCTACGTTCCAGCAGCTGTGTTTGGTTTGGCCACGGACGCGCTTTGGCATGCAACATTATCAAGCACTGTTTGGAGGTCGGTATGTTGAGCACGCAGTCCGAGTTGAGTAGCCAGCAAATGCCGACAGGACGAAGTCCGGTCATTTCTTTTTTGCGCTGCCAACAGGCCGAGGTTTGCTCGTTTGTTTCGCTACTGCAACGCTACAGTACCACCTCGTCGGCCCTCCGTCCATTTGGCGATGGTGTAGTAGCAAGCAGCGCGGCTGCAAAGCGCCGAGGTGATTTGGTTGGTTGTGAAAACGTCCTGGTCCGGGCCCGTCCGGTAGCCAGCAGCGCGCCTGCGATGGCGGCCTGCGTCTGTGTGTCTTGCACGCTTGCCGTGCGGTGTCTCCCAACAGGGCGTCCACTTGCGTCAAGGTGTAGTAGGCCAGCAGTGCTGTCGATATGGCCGGTCGTTTCGACGTCCTGCGCCGTGCCCGTTCGGCAGTCGACCAGCAGCGCGTCCACTTGTAAGGAGGTGTAGTAGCCAGCAGCGCAGCCGCGAGGGCCGCGTCCGCTGCAATGGAGTAGCAGTCGGCCGTGATGCTCAGCGTGTTGGCCGCGAACGACGTTGCTTCCGCGAACAAGCTCCCAAGTAGTGAAGCCCGCCTAGGCCGGCGCGTTAACAACCCGCCGCTGCCGGAAAGCTGCAGGGCGGCGAGCTCTGCGAGAATTGCATCAAGGGCGCTCTGGAGCGTGGTCTCGCTGGCTGAGAGCGCGGCGTTCGTGGCGTACGAGGCCAGCAGCATGGCGTCGGCCTTGGCCCCCTGAGCGCCGTGATGCTGGCGTCCCGGCTAGCAAGCTGCGCTGCGACGAAGGCCTCGGTGGCAAGACCCAGCAGGGCGTTTGCTATCTTGGTGTCTACCTCCAGCGGCGTGTGCAACCCGTCCACCGTGGAGAGCAGGGCGGCCAGCGCGCTTGCGTCGCCTTGTCGAGGAGGGCAGCGTCCAGGGCTGCCGTGGTGACTGCGCCCGAGAGGGCTGCCGCTATCTTAGAGTCCACCTCAGAGGAAGTGTCGACGGCCGACTGCAGGGCGTACGCGGTCAGGGCGCTGGCGTCCGCCTTGGAGGCCTGCAGCCCCAAGATGGAGGCGTCTCGGCTCGCGAGCTCCTGCCACCGTGGCTAGCGTGGCGTTGTTGGCCGAGGCGATGGAGCCGTTCATGGCCGCCGTTGCGCAGCCACCTGTCCGCAGTGCGCTGCTGTCCAGCTTTGAGGCCAGCTCAGCGGTGACTCGGTCGTCCAGGGACTGGATGGCTGCCGCGTTGTTGCCGGAGGCTGCCGTGTTCACGAGGGCCAGCTGCCCTGCAGTGACGTGCGTGCCGTCAGTTACCTCTCCGTTGTCCAGGACCTCCGGGATGTTGCCCGTGACAGGTCCTTCAAACATGTTTTCTTAGGAGTGACTAAAGTCAGGTCGTGTGTTACGAATTCGTAACGCTGGGGTGTTGTACTTTCGCAACGGCCCCCTTGAGTCGCTGGAGTCATCTCGTCGTAGCGTGGTCGTGTGAAGCTTTGAGGGAAAATACCTCAATTCCGTAGGGAAACTATCCTTCACTTGTGATACCGCTCGCTGTACCGTGGTTGTGACGAATTGACCGATGGCGTCGGTCAAAACGCTTGGGACACCTCGGCCTGTGGCACATGATGAATTGACCGATGTAGCGCATGATGAATTGACCGATGTAGCTATGCATTGTGTGCATAGTTTTATAGGTCAATGGGAACACCTCTGGGGGCTCAAGCGCCAGCAGCCCTCACCTGCGCCGGGCATATGAACCAACCTTGCCCATTAATGAACCAACCTTGCCCACTAATGAACCAACCTTGCCCATTAATGAATAACCTCGGCGGCCTGCCGCGCTCCGAGCCAGGTCCTCGGCTGGCTGTCGTGCCGCGGAAAACCCTGCGAAGAACGAGTTCCGGAACTGGGCCGCTTTTGCGCACTTTTTCAACCCAAAAGTGAGCGGTGACGAAGCGGTGGCGGACGGTGACAAGCTCAGCGGGATGGAATTTGCCTGCTTTTCCGGGCAGAAGCGGAATCCAGAGCACAGCAAGCGTCTGGAGCCCGATTTCGACCGAAAACAAGCAAATTTGGAGGCTCAGGCACCACACTTGACGTCTGACACGAAAAAACGAACTTTTCGGAGTTGGCCGTTTTGAGCGCTTTTTGCACCAGAAACGCGGGGACATCGCTGGTGACGAGTTCAGCTGGTTGAAAATTATGCAGTTTTGCAGGGTTTTTGGACCAAAAAACCAAATAATCAAGGAGTGTAAGCTGCCTTTCCTTACTACTACCAGCGTGGTGTCCGGCCACCCGGGCTTGGAGG